TCTTGCCCGGGCTCTATTGTAGAGCATAGCCTCTATTGTCGAGCATGGCCTCTATTGTCGAGCATGGCCTCTATTGTAGAGCATGGCCTCTATTGTAGAGCATGGCCTCTATTGTAGAGCATGACCTCTATTGTCGAGCATGGCCTCTATTGTAGAGCATGGCCTCTATTGTAGAGCATGGCCTCTATTGTAGAACATGGCCTCTATTGTAGAACATGACCTCTATTGTCGAGCATGGCCTCTATTGTAGAGCATGGCCTCTATTGTAGAGCATGGCCTCTATTGTAGAGCATGGCCTCTATTGTAGAGCATGGCCTCTGCTGTAGAGCATGACCTCTATTGTAGAGCATGGCCTCTATTGTAGAGCATGGCCTCTATTGTAGAGCATGGCCTCTATTGTAGAGCATGGCCTCTATTGTAGAGCATGGCCTCTATTGTAGAGCATGGCCTCTATTGTAGAGCATAGCCTCTATTGTAGAGCATGGATTATCACCAAGCCTGACTAGTAACAAACCTTACTATTCACCTCGAGAGAACAGGTTTGTATTCAGCCATTTAAATTCGCCTCACGTCTTAAAAAAAAATATTGCTGAAAACATAGTTAGAATAGCCTCATACGCGAGCGAGAATCCGCGGATCCGAGTTTGATCCCCAAATCCTCGTGGGCTTGAAGGCCGAGGTGTTAAAACAGTGCACAAGGAGTCTGCTGGCCGCTGGCCGGGCGCTGGCCGGGCTTAAGGGCTTGGCCCGGGCTGAACCAGGCTCTGCCCGCTGGTAATAAGGAGATGAAGTGCTAATTTTATTGTGGCGACACAACGATAACAGCTCCTCCGGCCAGTGGTTCCTAGGGGGGGGGGGGTGGACCGGATACAGGAGGGGGTGGACCGGATACAGGAGGGGGTGGGTGGACCGGATACAGGAGGGGGTGGGTGGACCGGATACAGGAGGGGGGTGGGTGGACCGGATACAGGAGGTTGGGCTTTACTATCCTATTGGCTCAGTCTGGTACCCAAGTTTCCATCGTATACCTTCGCTCTTGGCCTTCATTTTGTCAAAGTTGGCTCTATGTCGATTCTTGAGCAATTTTGTACATTGTGATCATGTCTCCTCTGGTTGTTCAATCGTACTGTGATATGTGGTCCAGTTTCCTTAGTCTATTAAAGTAATTCATTAGGTGGGTGCTTGTGTAATTACCTAAGTGTAGTTACAGGATGAGAGCTACGCTCGTGGTGTCCCGTCTTCCCAGCACTCTTTGTCATATAACATTTTGAAACTACTGACGGTCTTGGCCTCCACCACCTTCTCACCTAACTTGTTCCAACCGTCTACCACTCTGGTTGCAAATGAAAAATTTCCAATATTTTCCTCGGCACCTGTTTCCTTATCTTGAGTCTGTCTGTGTGTATTTACTATTTGTATTTACTATTTGTGTCTGCAGAATCGAGCTATTAGCTCTTGGACCCCAACTTTCTAACCAATTTTTCCTTTCTAATCTATTTTTCCTCTATTATGTCTACTACATACATTTCTCTCTAACACACACACACACACACATCCCCAGGAAGCAGCTCGTAGCAGCTGTCTAACTCCCAGGTACCTATTTACTTCTAGGTGAACGGGTACATTAGGGTGAAAGAAAGTCTGCCCATTTGTTTCTGCCTTTGCCGGGAATAGAACCCGGGCCCCTAAAGCGCTGTCCACTCAGCCACGAGGTCCCAAATGTGTGAAGGTGAGTGTGTATATACTAACTAATTTGTGGCGGCATGATCGAGATTTAGCTCTTGGACCCCAGGCCTTCTAGACATTGGTTGACTGTAATACAATGGCTTCTATCCTATCCTATTCCTCTGTCATATTTACCTTAGAAATTATTAATGGAATTTGCTCCCTTAACTTGCTCCTTAAGTTCGCTTCATTTTCCCGTAACTCTGACGCTTAATGAAAACTTTCCCACATGTCTTTGGCTCATCTCTCAAGCTTAACCGTGTTCTATTGCTGTTCATTGTGAACATTTCTTGTTCCACTCTGTCCATCCCCTTTAATATCTTATAAGTCCCCCCTCCTCCCTCTCTCTCTCGTTTTCTCTAGCAATGTCAGATTCAATATTTCAGTCTTTCTTCATAAGACATCTCTATCACCTCCAGGACCAGCCTCGTTGCAAGCCTTTGAACCGTGTCTATTTTCTTATTTTTTTTTTTATATTTTAGATGGGATATTTTTCACGATGGGGGCTGTATCTTGAAGACTGGTCTCACGTAGGTGGTATACAGAGTTCTAAATGCTTCCTTATATAGGTTCCTAAACGATAATTTGATTTGTGCCGTTGTAGCGTACGCTGCTGATGTTACCTTGTTTATACGTGCCTCCAGAGTTACGCTTGGTGTCAGGTTCAGTCCCTGGTCTTTTTCTCTAGTTATCACAGGGAGGTAGTGTCCCCTTCATTGTCTACTGTCCCTTTGGTCTCCTGTTCCCATTTCCATCACTTTACACTTGCTCATGTTGAACTCTAATAGCCAGTTCTCAGACAATGCTGTTATTTCACTTATGGTAAAAGGAACAAATGTTTAACAAATAGGAAGTGAGATGCTTTATAACACTCGTGAAACGCACCAAGTGTCCATTATGGTTTGTCTTGTTGTTGTTAGTCTCTCACAGGACTCCAGTAGGCTCCTTAGGCAGGTTATCACTTCCAATAAACCTATTGGTGTTTGTTCACCTAGTTCATCCTCTATAGGTATTTAGTTTATCTTATCCTTATTATAGTTCCCAGCACCATGCTGGGGCTGCGGGTCTGTAGTGTCACCTTCCTATATCCTTATCTTGAGGTTATCTTGAGATGATTTCGGGGCTTTTAGTGTCCCCGCGGCCCGGTCCTCGACTAGGCTTCCACCCCCCAAGAAGCAGCCCGTAACAGCTGACTAACACCCAGATACCTATTTTACTGCTAGGTAACAGGTGCATTGGGTGAAAGAAACTCTGCCCACTGTTTCTCGCCGGCGCCCGGGATCGAACCCGGGACCATAGGATCACAAGACCAGCGTGCTGTCCGCTCGACCGACCGGCTCCCTATCCTTATATATTGGTGTGACACTGGCCGTCTTCCAACACCTGGGTAAGACGCCCACAGCTAGAGGTGATGTAAGGTAGGTACGTACACACTAGGTAAGTACAACTAGGCAAGTACCGAGGGGCTGTCCAACTTGTGTTTAACAACCGCGGTGAAATATTATCAGGTCCCATTCCTGTATTTACAGGTAGTTATACACGTTGTCTCAGTGGTTGTTCTGTTGTTAGTGGTTGTCTTGGGGTCATCCGGGCTGACCTCCACCAACTGTTGCACCTCACTACTCAACACATCACACAAACCTCAGAGATCACACGAACTTTTGTGAGATTCTCACACATTTCGTTGTCATTTTCTACATGGTCTCCACTCTTGCATAATCTAATCACTTGCTTATTATATATTTTTTGTTTCATCTTGATTGACTATGGAGTTACTTTGGTTGTTTTTTGGCTTTTAACTTCAATGTTATTTTTATAGTTATTCTGATACTCTGTTTACGTTTATCTATTTATTCTTTCCTCTGTTGCATCCTACCTTGCGGTTACCTTGCGATGATTTCGGGGCGCAACGTCCCCGCGGCCCGGTCCCCGACCAGGTCTCCTGGTTGCTGCACCACATCTATGCCTTTTTCTTCTATACCTTCACTTCTGTTTTTTTCCACTAACTCTTGCTTTTCGTTATAGCCTTTTGGGCATTGTTTATTGAACCTGTCTACTGAACCTGTCTGCTGAACCTGTCTGCTGAACCTGTCTGCTGAACCTGTCTGCTGAACTTGTCTGCTGAACCTGTCTGCTGAACCTGTCTACTGAACCTGTCTACTGAACCTGTCTGCTGAACCTGTCTGCTGAACCTGTCTGCTGAACCTGTCTGCTGAACTTGTCTGCTGAACCTGTCTACTGAACCTGTCTGCTGAACCTGTCTGCTGAACCTGTCTACCGAACCTGTCTACTGAACCTGTCTGCTGAACTTGTCTACTGAACCTGTCTGCTGAACCTGTCTACCGAACCTGTCTACTGAACCTGTCAACTGAACCTGTCAACTGAACCTGTCTACTGAACCTGTCAACTAATGGTATTTCATATACTATGTTGTCGATATTTTCCTCATTTAGACTATGGATCAAAATCCATTTGGTTCCGCCTCTCTGTCTATGGATCTATTTGTCTATCTCTTGATAGACAAATAGACGAGGTTTATCTCCCCGCTTGTGTCATCTTAGTGACTTTTATTGTCTGCCAGGGGAGGAGGGGAGGGGGGGGGGTGTATGTTACAGAGACCACTACCTTTCTCCATCTATTGTCGTTAGAGTTCCAGTAATGGTCTCTGTATTCATGTACATTAAGAACCTCAAGTTCCTCAAATTTCCACTTTCTGTTCATTAGGAGTGCTCCTTCTCCTTCCTCTTTCTCCTCTTCCTTCCTACATCTCTTTATTTCCTTTCTTTTCTCATTGCCTGGTATCCCCTTGTGTATGTGTGTACTCACCTAGTTCACCTAGTCGCAGCCATTCTACACTTCAAGTGTAGATATGATAGAGCCCAGTAGGCTCAGGAATCTGTACACCTGTTGATTGACAGTTGAGAGGCGGGACCAAAGAGCCAGAGCTCAACCCCCGCAAGCACAACTAGGTGAGTACAAGGATGCCGCCCCCTAGCAGCACATCTCCCAGATACCTATTTACTGATCGGTGAGTGAGTGAGTGAGTGAGTGAGTGAGTGTGAGGGAGTGAGTGAATATGAGTGTTTCAACTCCTTGATACTTTGCTGGTTCTTCACCCGCCTCTCTCCCTCTCTCCTTCTCTCACTCTCCTTGTTGCCTCAGTGTCTCTTTGATGACCACCCCCTCCCTCACTCCCTCCCTCCCTCCCTCAGTCCCTCCCTCACTCTCTGCCTCACTTCCCTCCCCTCCCTCAGCCCGCCCCAGCTTCTACTCACCTTGATGCTTGAGCTTCTCCTTGACGGACCACTTGGACCTGGTGGGGGGGATGGGGTTGTCCAAGAGCCACCCCCCGCACGAGTACCCCCAGAAGTCGCTGCAGGTGGAGCTGCCCGGGTCCAGGTTCCCCTGAAGCTGTGGGTGGAGAGATGTGGGGTTAGGGTGGTGGTGGTGAGGGGGGGGGGGGGTGGTGGGGGTGAGGGGGGTGGTGAGGGGTGGTGGTGGTGAGGGGGGGTGGTGGTGAGGGGGGGTGGTGGTGAGGGGGGGTGGTGAGGGGGGGGGGTGGTGAGGGGGGTGGTGAGGGGATGGTGAGGGGGGTGGTGAGGGGGTGGTGGGGTGGTGGGGGGTGGTGGGTGGGGGGTGTTGGGGGTGGGAGGCGGTGGTGAGGGGGGTGGTGGGGGTGTGGGGGTGGTGGGGTGGGGGGGGGGTGGTGGTGGTGTGGTGGAGGTGACAGTGACCTTCAGTATGAATCTCATGATACATACAATGTTTTATCAGCCATCAGTAGGTGTCAACATGTATCATCTTTAGGTATGTGGCAAGTATTTGGCATGTCTTAATATCACGAATGTCGGCATGTTCCACATGTGTCAGTATGTATCACATGCTGGCATGTATCACATGCCAGCATGTATCATGTGTCACCAGGATATTACTTTACCTGACAACAATTGCAAGTAACGTTCCCAATTGACATGTGGCTGACAGCTCGCTAAAACTGTCAACACTCAGCACCCACCAGACCTGTGGGCACCAGACCTGTGGGCACCAGACCTGTGGGCACCAGACCTGTGGGCACCAGACCTGTGGGCACCAGACCTGTGGGCACCAGACCTGGGTACTGGTCGAGTTGCACTTCACTGTGTGAGGTCATCCTCAGACAGGTCATCCTCAGACAGGTCATCCTCATGTAACACCATTGTAATGTAACACCACTATAAAATAAGTACTAAACTAATAATGTACACACTACTACTAATCCTGAGTAACACTTCCTATCAGTTGCACTTGGTAACGCTGTTATTGAACACTGTAATATGAGCGGACATATGATGGTTACACCGGAACCAAAAGGTACACTGCCAACAAGGGAATGCTACACAGGATTAATACGCTGCCACCATCTGCCTTTGACCATTGAGACTATATCAAGCAACGAGGCAAGAAACATTGCTTGACTTGGAGAGTACTTTCTATGACTGTCATTAATTATGGGACGGTTGTCAGCCCACTATATCCAAAAGGCTAAGAGGATTCAACAATTGACACAGACGGGAAATTTAACATGAGTTTATTGAGACCAAAATTATGCTAATCACCACTTATAAATCCTTCTCTAACACTGGCCAAGAGTTAAGAAATTTAGACATGGAACAAAACCTCAGAGATCACACACATTACCTTAAGACCTCTGTCTCTCCATCCGGTGGATTCACTCTGTTACTCCCTGCTGTGCGATGTTCTCCACAGCCCTCTCTCGACCCCGGTGTCCCGCACTCTGTCCCCACTAAGTCTCTACAGGACCTCAATATACAACCCCAACAGGGGGAAGGGGGAGATTTGCTGTTGCTACGTACACCAAAAATGCAAGGGGGTCGGGCCACATGTGCACAAACACTTAAGAATTTTCATTAAACTTGTTTGACATTCACCATACACTGTTCAAGAGAGGAGTTATTAATTACGTGTGTGACTGACCTTTGACCTGGCTAAAAGGGGGAGATCCATGGATGTTTACACATAAGAATCTGGGGTCTAATTCCATTACAATGTTTGACAAGAGTATCATGAAATATTACATACTTGAAACTAGCTGACTAAGACTAACCCAGGAATATTTTAATCAACATACAAGATAATCCAGAGGTCATCTGGGCAGACCTCTTGGAGAAGGCTTCCCTGGGTGTGAACTCTCGGGGAGGGGGGGGGGGGGTCTTGCGTGTTACTCAGACAGGTCGTCCTCAGACAGGTCGTCCTCAGACAGATCGTCCTTAGACAGGTCATTAACAGACAGGTCGTCCTCAGACAACAGGTCATCCGCAGACGACAGGTCATCCTCAGACGACAGGTCATCCTCAGATGACAGGTCATCCTCAGACAGATCATCCTCAGACATGTCATCCTCAGACGCCAGGTCGTCCTCAGACGACAGGTCATCCTCAGACAGATCATCCTCAGACGACAGGTCATCTCCAGACGACAGGTCGTCCTCAGACAGGTCGTCCTCAGACAGATCATCCTCAGACATGTCATCCTCAGACGACAGGTCGTCCTCAGACGCCAGGTCGTCCTCAGACGACAGGTCATCCTCAGACAGATCATCCTCAGACGACAGGTCATCCTCAGACGACAGGTCGTCCTCAGACAGGTCGTCCTCAGACGACAGGTCATCCTCAGACGACAGGTCGTCCTCAGACAGGTCATCCTCAGACGACAGGTCATCCTCAGACGACAGGTCATCCTCAGACGACAGGTCATCCTCAGACGACAGGTCGTCCTCAGACAGGTCATCCTAATACGACAGGTCATCCTCAGGCGATAGGTCGTTCTCAAACGACCGGTCGTCCTCAGACAGGTCATCCTCAGACGACAGACCATCCTCAGACGACAGGTCGTCCTCAGACAGGTCGTCTTCAGACAGGTCATTATCAGACAGGTCGTCCTCAGACGACAGGTCATCCTCAGACGACAGGTCATCCTCAGACGACAGGTCGTCCTCAGACGACAGGTCATCCTCAGACGACAGGTCATCCTCAGACGACAGGTCATTCTCAGACGGCAGGTCATTCTCAGACGACAGGTCCTCAGACGACAGGTCGTCCTCAGACGACAGCTCGTCCTCAGACGACAGGTCGTCCTCAGACAGATCATCCTCAGACGAGAGGTCATCCTCAGACGACAGGTCGTCTTCAGACAGGTCGTCCTCAGACAGGTCATCTTCAGACAGGTCATCTTCAGACGACAGGTCGTCCTCAGACGACAGGTCGTCCTTAGACGACAGGTCGTCCTCAGACGACAGGTCATCCTCAGACGACAGGTCATCCTCAGACGACAGGTCATCCTCAGACGACAGGCCATCCTCAGACGACAGGTCATCCTCAGACGACAGGCCATCCTCAGACGACAGGTCATCCTCAGACGACAGGTCATCCTCAGACGACAGGTCATCCTCAGACGACAGGCCATCCTCAGACGACAGGTCATCCTCAGACGACAGGTCATCCTCAGACGACAGGTCATCCTCAGACGACAGGTCATCCTCAGACGACAGGTCATCCTCAGACGACAGGTCATCCTCAGACGACAGGCCATCCTCAGACGACAGGTCGTCCTCAGACGACAGGTCATCCTCAGACGACAGGTCGTCCTCAGACGACAGGTCATCCTCAGACGACAGGTCGTCCTCAGACGACAGGTCATCCTCAGACGACAGGTCATCCTCAGACGACAGGTCATCCTCAGACGACAGGTCATCCTCAGACAGGTCGTCCTCAGATAGGTCATCCTCAGACGACAGGTCATCCTCAGACGACACTTCGTCCTCAAACGACAGGTCATCCTCAGACGACAGGTCGTCCTCAGACGACAGGTCATCCTCAGACGACAGGTCATCCTCAGACGACAGGTCATCCTCAGACGACAGGTCATCCTCAGACGACAGGTCATCCTCAGACGACAGGCCATCCTCAGACGACAGGTCGTCCTCAGACGACAGGTCATCCTCAGACGACAGGTCATCCTCAGACGACAGGTCATCTTCAGACAGGTCATTCTCAGACGACAGGTCGTCCTCAGAGACAGATCGTCCTCAGACGACAGGTCATCTTCAGACAGGTCATTCTCAGACGACAGGTCGTCCTCAGAGACAGGTCGTCCTCAGACGACAGGTCGTCCTCAGACAGGCCATCCTCAGACGACAGGCCATCCTCAGATGACAGGTCATCTTCAGGCAGGTCATTCTCAGACGACAGGTCGTCCTCAGAGACAGGTCGTCCTCAGACGACAGGTCGTCCTCAGACAGGCCATCCTCAGACGACAGGCCATCCTCAGACGACAGGTCATCCTCAGACGACAGGTCGTCCTCAGACGACAGGTCGTCCTCAGACGACAGGTCATCCTCAGACGACAGGTCATCCTCAGACGACAGGTCGTCCTCAGACGACAGGTCATCCTCAGACGACAGGTCATCCTCAGACGACAGGTCATCCTCAGACGACAGGTCATCCTCAGACGACAGGTCATCCTCAGACGACAGGTCATCCTCAGACAGGTCGTCCTCAGACAGGTCTTCCTCAGACAGGTCTTCCTCAGACAGGTCGTCCTCAGACCGGTCTTCCTCAGACAGGTCGTCCTCAGACAGGTCTTCCTCAGACAGGTCGTCCTCAGACAGGTCGTCCTCAGACAGGTCGTCCTCAGACAGGTCGTCCTCAGACAGGTCGTCCTCAGACAGGTCTTCCTCAGACAGGTCGTCCTCAGACAGGTCATCCTCAGACAGGTCGTCCTCAGACAGGTCTTCCTCAGACAGGTCGTCCTCAGACAGGTCTTCCTCAGACAGGTCGTCCTCAGACAGGTCTTCCTCAGACAGGTCGTCCTCAGACAGGTCTTCCTCAGACAGGTCGTCCTCAGACAGGTCGTCCTCAGACAGGTCTTCCTCAGACAGGTCGTCCTCAGACAGGTCGTCCACAGACAGGTCGTCCACAGACAGGTCGTCCTCAGACAGGTCTTCCTCAGACAGGTCGTCCTCAGACAGGTCGTCCTCAGACAGGTCGTCCTCAGACAGGTCGTCCTCAGACAGGTCATCCTCAGACAGGTCGTCCTCAGACAGGTCGTCGTCAGACAGGTTATCCTCAGACAGGTCGTCCTCAGACAGGTCTTCCTCAGACAGGTCGTCCTCAGACAGGTCTTCCTCAGACAGGTCGTCCTCAGACAGGTCTTCCTCAGACAGGTCTTCCTCAGACAGGTCATCCTCAGACAGGTCGTCCTCAGACAGGTCGTCCTCAGACAGGTCGTCCTCAGACAGGTCGTCCACAGACAGGTCGTCCTCAGACAGGTCGTCCTCAGACAGGTCGCTTCAGACAGGTCTTCCTCAGACAGGTCGTCCTCAGACAGGTCATCCTCAGACAGGTCGTCCT